AAATCTGACTTGGGGGCTGTACTGCGCTTGCTGAGTACAGCTCAAATCCGCTGAGAAACTTTTGGGGATGGGGGGGGGATGGGGGTGTATAAGGGGTATTGGGGAGGGTAATGAGGGTGTTGGGGGTGGTTTGGGGGTGTTGAGGGGTGTATAGGGGTATTGGGGCCGCTATGGGGGTGTTGGCGGTGTATTAGGGGTTCTGGACCCCAGAAAAGAAAAAGAAAAAAAACTTTTTTCTTTCAACCGGTAGGTGCCGACCAGCCGATCGGTCGGCGGGTCGGCAGCCGACCAGTCAAGGGCCGCCGACCGCCGGGGGGTGCAACCCTGGTGTGTAGCGAATATGACGACCCATCACGGCCTTGCTTAGCTCTCCGCTCAGGCGGACTGGTGCGGCTAGGGTCGGGACTGTACTAGCAGTCATGCGATTGGATGTCCATGGTTGAGTGGGTGTGTGGAGTGGGTTTTATGACTGTGTCGGACTAGTTTCTCAGACTTGCCGTTCTTGTCAGGGGTTCGGACCGACAGTCTGCTAGGATTGCAGGGTTGGTGTGAGTAAACTCCGTGTGACATGGTGAGCCCGTATCCATGAGTCAAATGCATCCTGTGCAGACTGTCGGGGTTCAACCTCCTGTTGAGTCGGTGAAAGTCCGACGTACCCCACCAAGAAATGGTGGAGGGGTGATTGTCCTGAGTGGTAGACACTGCGGTAGGACTGAGGGAGTTGGGGGCGTGCCAGGGGATAAAAGAGGGCTGGGTGGGGTCTCATGAGGTGGAAGAACCAATCGTAAAACCAAAAAGAAAGAAAAGACGGGTATGCAGGAGAGATGAAGAGATGAGGAAATGAAGAAGGAAAGTGATGATGGAATTAATAAAATAAAAAAAGAACAAAAGGTACGAAAGGGAAGTAAAAAAAAAAAAGGAGGTGCAGGCATCCTTCCACATAGACCAACGGGCTTTTCTCCTACGAAGCCTGGTTTGTGTTGCAACGTTTTGAGCATGGCCCACTGGGGCAGGATTGGGCGAACAGGCTCACGGGTACTACCGTCTTCCCCGGAACACAACGCACCCTTATTTTGACTGTATCTGGCCTGAAATATAGCTTGTATACATTCGTTTTTAGGGTGCGTTATGTTTGGGGGAAGACGGTAGTGGTTTATTCGGGATCGTTGTTTAATGTCGATCTTGTGCATGACTCTTGGAGGTTGTCAGTTCAGTTGCTTCCCGCATTGAGCTGTGTAACAAGGCGCTACAATCTGAAGATGGTGATCCCTAGTGGGGGCAAGTGGCTGTGTTCCATATGAGAGAGGCATCCTTCACTTTCCAAACGTGCTGGTGTTTTATGGATGCCCTCCCCCCCCTCTCCC